GAAAATTGAACAATTGAAAATTGAACAATTGTAGTATCAGGCTGCAACATAACAAAATTGAAAAAAAGTGAAGGGGGTCTGAATATTTTCCAAATGCACTGCATATAATTGTTCTGAATCTGGAGGCAAAAATCATTTTTGAACTTTGAACTGCTGAGAATACTTGCTGAGAATATCTCCCTGCCAGAGCTAAACTTGCCTACAACTTTATATGCCTACATTTCTGCGTGTTCTTCTTAATTATTTAACATTCCTTGCTGCATTTGTGTTCCTTGCTTCCCAAGTGCTTTCCATATGAATTGTGTGATATTCTATAATCCCTTGCTTCAGTCTAAAACTTATATGTCAGAATATAGAAAATATAATGGTCCTGTGATGAGTTTTTTAAAAAGCAGAAATATTCAATATTCCACCAAGCACAAGAGATTTTTAAGAGAGTTCATAAAAGAAAAAAATAATACAACATCCTTATCAATTGGAGAATGTTGATTTATCATTTACTTCCATTAATCATATTTTATAGATTATATAGCATTAATATTAATACAGTGTGCAGCCCATCATCTGGAAGGAATGCAGTCATGTGTATTAGAGCATAACACATCCCTGAGCTCTGCTGCTCCAGGACATCTGTTAAAATACTTCATGGCTCTTTAAAATTTAATAACAGATTTTTTAAAAAATTCATCATGTTTCTTTTCAGGCTCAGAAGTCATGGATAGAGAGAGCATTTTACAAAAGGGAATGCGTCCATATAATACCCAGCACCAAAGACCCCCATAGGTAAGAGTGCTGTATTTGGTCACTTAATTTCCATTGGATGTGGAGGTAAGCAGACTATAATATATAAACATTTAAGCCTTTGATATAAGTTATAGAAAAGATCTCTCTATTTTAGCAATAAACAACAAATATTTTAAATAGACATTGTACTTAGAATGTACATTGATTCACTTTTGACCTTCTCCAATACTTCAGGTTGGAGATATAGCAGCACCTACTGTGTGAAAAAGATTTAAAAGAAAGAATAGATATCTTCTTCCATTTAAATATGAATGGATCATTTCCAAGACCACATGACCAGACCTTCATTTGTGTAAGAGGGAGACTCTTTCCCCCTGTGTTACCGTATGTGCCCAGTGGCATTCCACAGGATCTTTCAACCATTTGGAGAAGCTTTGGGCGGGGGCCTGTCGGGGAAGAAAGATTTTTTTTTTCTGCAGTGACTTTCATTTTACTTACAGATGTAAAAAGTTGGACCCACCCCAATACATTTAATTAAGTAACACCTTACTTGCTGGCACAATATTGAACATATTTCATTTCTGATTATTTTGTACAGAGAAATGTTAGTCTTGTTTTCTTAAAATCTCATGAAAAAGTAAACAAGTTCAATCAGCTAGATGTGGCAAAAAGATTTGATGTGCCAATTTGTCTGATTTGTGTAAGCTCAGATTTAATATATTTTAAATCACTATAGTAGAACTCTCCATGACAGCTTTAAGAAAATGTGAAAATACTGTATAATAGAGTCATTTCAGGTAAGTTAAATTGAGGTGATACGTAAAACCTGCTCCTCGGGGCCTTATGCAACCTGGGATTTCTTATAGCTGCTTCTTTGCAATACTTTCTCTGAAAAGATAGTAATAGTTGCAAAACACAGTCTTTTAATCTAGCTTCTAAATTCTGAGAGACAATAAGTAAAACATTTTGTAAATTTATGGATAATGTATTCCAAATGCATTCACTTGTATCAGAACTATCCCACAGCTGTGCCAGTCAATGTTATAATCTTATTTCCTCTATGAAAATAAAGCAAAGCATAACAATGGTTTTTTTGCTTGGGTTTTTTTTTTTTCTATTGTGTGTTTTGGGGGGAAGCAGAATGCTATACTACTGAAACCTCTTTGCACAAAGTACTAAGTCATCTTTTTTGTACAACATTACAGCGGGCCTAGTTACCTATATCACATACTACTGGCAAAATGATTACTTATTTTATGCAAGACTTCTAGTCGCTTTAGTCTTCTCCTTTATTGTAACAAAAAATTAAGTAGTTTTTACTTAATTCCATAGGTGTTGCTGCGGGCGCCTAATAGGTCAACATGTGGGACTTACTCCAAGCATCTCCATTATCCAGAATGAGAAAAATGAAAGCCAGCTCACTCGAAATGACCTCCAGTCAGAGAAGTGGTCGATCGGCAAGCACACACAACTCAGCCCCACTGATGCCTTTGGAACCATTGAGTTTCAAGGAGGTGGTCACTCAAATAAAGCCATGGTAATTTTCAAAAATTGTAATGTCAGAATGGGTTCCTTACTGTCTCTGTTATGTGGGGGTTTATTTTCTAGCAAGGAATATATCTGTCTAGACTCCGCCTGCCATAAAAGGACCATTATAATTATTTCTTATACTATATAGAGCAATTATACTTCAGAGGAATCCATTGGCAACTTAGATAGGTCCTTGCTCCCAAGGAGCTTATAATCTAAGACCATGGTATTCAAACTGTGTCCCCTGGAACCCCAGGGTTCTGTGAGAATCACCCAGGGGTTACACGTGACAGTTTATTCTTACGATTACAGTGAGATTTGTAATATCTTCATTCCTTTGTTTTGTTTAAAAGAGAGAAGTCTGCAACAAGTTATTACATGAAATGTATCTATTAATGGGTTCCACACTGATTTGTCACATTGAGAAAGGTTCCTCAGGGATCTAAAGTTTGAAGACCACTGGTCTAAGAAAACCAATGAAGAAAAGCATTAAAAGAGAATTGGAAGAAACAATGGGTAGCAAATCTGCGGGCAAGATGTATGATACAATTATGTAGCATGTGTTTTGAGAAAAAAAAATGTAGGCTTTCTTCTTGGTACCTCCACATATGGTTGAAGATGTGTGTCTGAAACAGTGGGAAGCCACTGATACTCACTGCAGACAGTATGGATGGAGATGGATTTGTGGTCCATAGCTGTACCAGATAGCTGTTTTTGCTTTTCAAACATACTGGAAAATTAATTATAGTTTAGAAGGAAGAGTGAATTGAGAATGGTTATAACCAGGAGTGAGGATTTATCAGAATGTGACTGGCATTTTCAGCAACATTTCTGGGTTCCTGATTTTTACTTTCTGCACTGAAATATTTTCTATAATTATAAAGCAAACCCCAAATTCATTTGCTCCATTTTACTGTAAACACATTTTTCTCCTTATTAAATATATGAAGGTATTTCACAAATATATAAAATTTTGAAATGAACTTGGTCCAGGGATGGAAAATAATGTGATCTCAGGGTCAATGAAAAATAAAATTTTATTGGCAAAAGACTCTAAGTTTTGTTAGTTTTGCTAATAGGAGAAAAGGAGACCTCTGCAGTAGAAAACCATGTAAGAAAAATTGTATTTCTTAAAACTGTACTTATTTAATATAGAATGACCAACTTCTTATTGCGGTGCAATATACTGCATTTATTAAAGAAGGAATTATTTGTCCTTGTCTCATTTCCAAGGAAAATATCAAGTACTACTTGAGACTAACATAAATTTAAAACAGAATACATGTCATTGGAGAAACTTTCAGCTTACCTCTGAAAAAATAATTTGTTCCTTTTCCAAAAAGTATTTTGTTCTAAGAATTTGTAGTTATTTTGCCAGCTGTACTACTTTGCTTATTCTACAAAATACATGTATGAATACACACATACACACATTTATGAATTTAATGGTCACAATGTAACAGTGTGGAACAAATATAGTATAGTGATTAAAGTGTTGGATTAGGATTTGGGAAGTGCTGGGATGGCTGTCGCTAAGTGATGTGGTCATGTGACGTCTCGCTTTAAAACCACACTTAAGCGGTGGAAATTCCAGTACCAATTGTGCTCGTAAATTGAGGACTACATGTATTACTTCAAAAAGTGTTTCTTTCCATTCCAATAATTATTGAAAGCTTAAAACGTGAAAATCTTCAAACCTGGAAACATATTTTGTGACAGCAGAAAGTTAATATGATTCTCTTACATGTCAAAATCCTATGGAAACTTTAATTGCCAATGAAATTTATTCATTTTGGTTAGGCTTTGTCAAGGTCCCCAGCAGCCTACAGGTTTTAAGTGCAAACTTTAAGAGATTCTGATCTTCAGACCAGTATAGCTCCAACACTTGCTGAACTAGCAAATAGTATATAAGTTGTAAACCCATGTTTGAGGTAGGCTTGCTTCAGTACTTTTCTATAGCTTAGCTTTCAAATTTGAGAAATATGAATGCTAAATCTGATGCATTGAACTTGCATTCCCATTTCAATGAAATTCAGCAAACATGTAGCTATAGGCATCTGCAGCAAACTCAGATTATGTCAGAATGATATGTACAATGTCATTATAATGCAAAACCCAGCCTTGTGTACTTGCATCCCAGCAAGTACGTATATGGCAGGTTTGGCACCATAATGTACATTTTGTCACTTGCCTTCTCTTGCCTCTCTCCCATGCCTCCAGAAACACCTGTGGTTCTGCTGTTGCATTGTATTCATTCTTCTTAAGGATTACAGGTGCTACAATTGTTTATTAAGTTCACTGGCCTTATATTCATACGCTCCCATCTTTCATACCTGTTCCTTCAGCTCAACTTCAAGTGTTAATTTATTATAGCCTTACAGTCGAAATCTAAAAGCTTCCTAAACCAGTGTTTGAAATTGTCTTGATTCAATAAATGGTAGTTAAGAGACTAATTTAAATTTGACATATCATTAAATGACAACTTCTTAAAGAGATAACAAATTGGTTTGGGGGCATATGCAAATCATTTGATGGAAGTAGCATCTGGGCATTCACATACACACACACACACACAACCAGACGACCTTGAAACAGCCACACCAATATTTTGAGAAGATGCAATTGCTTGGTAGCTTTAAGAGGCAAATTCAGAATGCTGTTTTGCTTGCACATGAAGTGCTTTGTCAAATGATTTGCACGTATTTATTGCTTTTGTCATTGCCTGAATGGACCTTGACTGACATAGTATCCTCCATTTTCCACCTTCGATATGGTTACATGCCATGGAGATAGAAAGAAATAGTTTCTCTGTATAAAGACAGCAGGAATTTCCTTGAAGCAAATCATACCCTATTCTATGTATCTCACAATCTTAGAAAGTTGGCAATTTATTGTGTTACTGCTGTTTGGAAATTATCCATTCAAAATGGTAGTTGGTATGCTGAGTAAGTTTTAAGATTCTCTTGATCTTATACTATGTAAATATTTAATAGAGTATCCACTTGAATAAAACAAAAACAAAAAAACTTTCTCGTTTAATTGCAGCACATCTCTTCCCATTACTGGCAAATTATTTTTGCTGATAGGTCTTTCATACTCAGGCAATGTTTACCCATCACATTTAACTATGAAATGGATAAACAATGAATGTGTTGCATTAGCGTCCAAGTGCCACTGCTAGCTCCTATGAGTGACTTTCCAACAGAGATGCATTCTGTGCCAGCATTTGCAAACCACCAGCATTGCTATAGATTAAGGTAGTTAATTTAGAGTTAAACTAACCAACCAGTAGTAGTGTCATCCAGCATGAACAAATGATGGGGAAACTACTTTCTCATAAGCTGATCCAAAGGCTCAGTACCCCAAATATTGGCATGGCATATTCTTTACTTAGCCATTTTTGATTAAGCATGATATGTAAATGAACCCTACATCTTCTGAGTTATGGTTCAGGGTTAGCTACCTTATATATTGAAGTTGGGTAACTGGTTGTAAACTATTGTTTTATCTTATAACAATAGAGAGGACGTAACAATTTCATGGAATTGTACTGCTTTATTAAAAAAAAAAAGATTTTTATTTAGCTAAATGTTATTAGATTTTTATCCCATTTTTTTTTCTTTTTAATATTTGGTCAATTCAAGGTGGTAAACATACTTAATACTCCTGCCTATTTTCATGTTAAGGGAGATGGAATCAATATGTTTATTACAACTTAACTTTTTTTTTCATTTTAAATCAATGCCCCTTGCTCTGTAGTATGTGCGTGTGTCTTTTGACACAAAACCTGATCTTCTTCTACACTTGATGACCAAGGAATGGCAGCTTGAACTACCCAAACTTCTCATCTCAGTACATGGAGGTCTCCAGAATTTTGAACTGCAACCAAAGCTCAAACAAGTATTTGGGAAAGGCCTCATTAAAGCTGCTATGACAACAGGAGCATGGATATTTACAGGAGGAGTAAACACAGGTAACAAAAATTGTCAAGGAGAAATCACTGGAGCAGTTATGTCTCAGAAGGCTTGTCAAAGAAGCGTATAGCTTTCTGTCCATGTATTATATTCCTCTCCTTTGCTTTTTTTCATAAACATGACATTAAATACAAATTTTCAATTAGCATGCATATTTTTTATTAAAATGTAGATAACCAAAATAGGATTCTAAGCAGGAACTGGAAAGAATTAACGCTTCTCTTAATGACACAATCACCACCACCACCACCCCACCCCTGCTGCTACTCTTATTGGAGAGAAAGGTCCATTAACAATGTTTGTCAGGATAGTGGCCAGGGATGGAGAGGAAGGTTAAATGCCTGTTGCTTGCCTGCCTGCCAATTGTATCAGGTATTTTTAGATGAAACAGCAGGAAAGGCAAGAACCAGCAATGAAGAGCAAAAAGCCATAATTGAGGATGGTTTAATGCAAACTCCAAAGGATCAAAATAATTTATTAAAAGGGTCTTCCTAAATTGAAATTAACATCAGTGTGCTGAATAGATTATAGAGATAGAACCTTTTTTGTTGTCAATAAAACATCACAATAATGGATTGGATAGATAGAACTTGGGGATGCTTTTGAGGTCTTCATGTGTGCCTGATAGTTACATATACAGAAACGGAAGGATCTCCATAAGGTATAGATGATCACCATTCATTTCTCCTCCTCGATGCATACATGGACACTTTGTGTTCCAACCCACTGTAGAAATGGGTATGTATACACCTTCAGTATCCTCTCCAGCTTACCTCCGCCATCCATGCAGTCAAAAACTGTGCAATCTAAATTAGCTTGCCTAATGGAGACCATTCTATAAACCAAAAAGACAAGGTACTTGGTTTTGTCAAGTCTATGATCCAAATGTTGCTGAGTTCAGCATTCCTCACCATTGCCACGGTGGCGGGGGTTGCTGAGAGTTGCAGTTCAGCAACATAAGAAGCACCACAAATTCTGTGTCCCAACCCAAGCGAAGAAAAAAAAAAAAAAAAGACAAGAATGCATGTCATGAACTGGCTAAAGTTTCTGTCATCATTTATCTGCATGGCTGATTTTTCATTTTTTTTTTCCTGGCTTTTTCAACAAATTGTGGTTAAATCAAAATGTGACTTAGGGTAATGTTAGAACAAAGTTATAAGTAAGCTTATACTTTTCCTATTTATGTCCAGAGTTTTTCCATTAAATCTTGAATATAGTGGCTGACTTTCTGTCCTTAATTTTAACCTTAATCCAACTGCCAGATGTGTTATGTGTTGTTAACTCATAATGTTTTCATTTTCTTGTCACAAAATTTAACTTCTTTAAAGTACAGACATTTTTAAAATAGATATTAATGTAATCCTATCATATGCTAGCATTTCTTTTTCAGGAGTTATTCGGCATGTTGGTGATGCACTGAAAGACCATGCATCAAAATCTAGGGGAAAGATCTGCACTATTGGAATAGCTCCCTGGGGAATTGTAGAAAATCAAGAGGATCTGATTGGCAAGGATGTGAGTCTCTTGCTTATCTATAAAATATTCTTTTGTCAGTGTGTTTTGGATATTGAGAAGTTCATAACTTTTGAACCAGGAATATACCCATGACACCAAGATTAAAACAGAATCATCAGATGCTTTTGTATGAGTATATATACCTTTCTCAGCTGTTTTGAGAATTTTATTTAAATATATTTGCAATTCCACATTTAATCCTTTAGAGGACATGGTCATGCACTCTTGTTTTAAGGATGAACTATACAGTTCCTTCCATTTTTAAATTTTTTAAAAAATGTTTTTACTATTTAAGGACAGTTCATAGCATTATGTACAAACCAGATCACTGAATGATAACTGTAAAGTGAATGTTGACTCATCCTCCTTATACATGAATGTAAATTTTTTGTTGCAGACTGCATAAGGTTGGCAACTATTTTGCAGCTGGCAAATCCCCCCAGAGTGGGTGAAGCTAAGGTCTTAGCTGTCCTTTGCATTTTTAAGAATTTGCAGAATCTTAAGGCATCTCTTTCATTCCTTAAAATCACCCATACCTCCTCAAAACAGGTCTTGGTTTCATCCAGCTTTAGCTTAAGGCACTTATTTGACCTGTGAACCAGGCCAATAATAATTCCTAGTCCTCTTGCTCTTTCTGCTTCTCAGTTATCTGTTAATAACACTGCTATTTCCACTGTTCCTCCTGTCAAAACGTTAGAGACTTCCTGGATACATCTCTTTACTTGCCACTGTCATATTAACATAATTAGTATCTATGTCCCTGTTGGCAGCATTTTCTGGAGGAGAAAAAAAGTTGTTCAATTTTTTCTCTTGTCCTCTTCTAGCTTACAGTTATTACCTTGATAATGAAGACTTAGAAGATATCTATTTTGCATTCATATCAATTAAGTCATAATAGTTGCAGTAGATGTTTTTGCTGCATTAACATTCTAATAATAATAATAATAATTTATTAAATATATATGCCGCCTGACTCCCAGCAACTCTAAACTAACATAATACAAAATAGAATTTTTTAAAAAGTGTATATAAGTGTACACACGCACACATATACACATACAAACATGTACACAAACACATGCATATGATAGAATACACATCTAAGAAAGAAAAACACTCAGTTCATAAACAATGAATTAAACCTAACCACAAGGACTAGGATTGGATAGTCTTTCTTCTGTGTTAATATAAAACAGGTTCACAGGTAGAGATTGAACAAATACATCTTGTCAATCCGAAGTTTTAACTCAGTATGACAGATTCTTTCCACTGAAATGTAACAATCTTTTTAACTACACTCTTTGCATACTAAGTCCATAGTTCTTTATAAATGCCAGGGTAGACCTTTGTGGCAAAGCAAAATGCAAGTGCATAAATGCATATATGCATGTGCATAAAATATATCCCATTAAATTTGATGTAATTTTTATTTATTACATCAGTTCACACATTCAAAAGTAAACAACATGAAGTTGAGTTTGGCAATACTGAATAAGAGGATTCAATCTAAATCTATTTGTCAAAAAACACAAGCAAATGTTTCTTTGGATTTAAAAAAACCCTTCCCTTACATTATGGATATATCACGTGAAGCCTTCCAAATCTTGCTGAACAATAAATCACAGAAACCCCAGTGGAATCACCAATAGTGAAGATACTAGGAGATGTACTGTAAGTAGGGACACCTGGAGAATCACATTCATGACCTACAATAAACAGTTTATAAAACTCAAATCAGTAATGTTATTTGTTTAATTTGTTATTCCAGTAACTGAAGGCACTATATATCTTTTCCTCTCCCTTATCCTCAATATAGCCATTGAGATAGCTTAAGCTGAAATACGATGAATAGTTTAAAATAATCCAGCAAGTATCAGAGCTTTTACTGGCCTAAGTTTAGAACTTGAACACAGTGATTATTTGCAAGATAAGAATCCCTCTTATTGCATGGCTCATGTGAGATTGTTGATTTGTGCTGTATGTATGAGTTGTGTAGGGATAAGAGAATATCCCTGTATTTGCCTCAAATATAAAAAAGTTTGCCTTTGAGTTCTTAGAAAGCCTCAAGAGCTTTTGTTGGTATTCAAAAAGAAATCTCAAATAAAAAATAATTATTCCCATTTTCACAAAAAAGACCTAACTTCATATCTTTCAGCATGAATCTTGGGTAAGCCTAAATATGGTAAGAGAAGGGGGAAATAAGAAGCCCCTAACAATCTGTGGCAAAGAGAAACATAATTGGTGACAGAAGTAGCTGAGTGTCCAATGCTGTGCCTGGAAAAATTGTTGCTGGAGTAAAAGTTATTCTTTCAACGAAGCTTTGCATTAAGAGAAGAACCCCACCCCCCATAGCCAATCATAGGATCATTTAGGGCTTTTGTTCTGAGCATCTTAAGGTTACTTTTTTTTTTCAGAAGGGAAGTAGCAGTTGGTTCTACTTCCATATTTCAGCACCCTTTCTTGGAATTCTCACTTCATTTCTATCTCAAAGTGATGCTTTGAGCCCTCTGAAGCCATGACCTGAGGAATATCACTTTGGTTATTATGATGGGAGTGTCTTTGAGACATAAATGGAGATACAAGTACAACATTTTGAGTTAAAGTGATTTCATAACTGCATTACAGATCTCTGCCAAACAGTCTTCCATGTATAATGCCAAGCATATTTCTTATTTACTGAAAACTCAGATACCATGAACTCACAGGCTTCATAGGAACCACAATACTGAATGTAGTGCAAATATATGAGCAGATTCTTTTTTTGGCTGCAGTTCCTCAGTGGTGAGAAAAAGGTATTTGTAGGGCTACATGGCACTTCAGATTTTAAGGCAAAGATGTGTTCTTCATGTGCGGGAAAAGAAATATTGCATCTGTGTCCAACTCCTTAACCAAACACATCTTTTCTCACACAGTCATAGGAAAAGATGCGGCTGCCTCACAGTAACTTTAATGAGTGGATTCCCTGAAGCAGTCGTGCCTTTCTTTCAGGCTTGCATAGAAGCCTGAAAAAAGTCAGGCTACTTTAATGAATAGCAGAGTAGTGTTGCACTCACAAGGTCCAAAGCACTTCCTTCAAATCATTTTTGAATTGTGCACAGTCAAGACACAGACACTTCTCTATGTCATTAAAGCTGAAATGTACTAATCTGAAGGGGGAAATGAAGCTTTTTTGTTTCTTTTCATATTCATACTAACACACCTGCTGCAGCATTCATACTTTCCTTGATAGTTGGAACTGCTGCCTGCAAGTTAGACAGATAAAGGAAATCTGATGCTTTTTCTGGAGGTTATCCAGCTTCATTTCTCCTGAATACCTAACAGCTGTGTTCTCCATTTCTCCTGTAATGGAGTTGATATCATCAGGTTTTTATTTTTTAAATGGGGAGAGGGATAATAGCAAATCTATCTTTTTATCCTCTCTGTCAGAAATTGGTTTATTGACTTTGATTTGCAGCTTTAACATTCAGTAACACTGCCCTTTGAACTAATCATGTATCCCATATCTCCCATTTCACAGGTTGCAGAGGGATGCATTATCAATTATTTTACTAGAGCAGAAATGCTTCAGGAATCCTAAATTTAAAATGGTATTAGACCAGGTTAAATTGTGGGAGCTAGTTTGGTGGAGTGGATAAAATGCTGGACTAGAAAGTGCAAGATTGTGAGTTCTAGTCTTCTCTTAGGCATAAAAGGCAGCTAAGTGACTTTGGGTAGATACTCTGTCTCAGTCCAACTCACCTCATAAGGTTATTGTTGTGGGGAACATAGGAGGCAGGGGCATTATGTATACTGCCTGGACTTACATGAAACAATGGTAGGATATAAATCTATTATAACATATAGTGAAATCCAAACCTGAATTCCATTCTTGGCACTTTGTAATCACAAACAGGATTTAATGTAAAAACACAGGTACCTCATACTCTATGTTCACCATCATGTGAAAACATTGTTCCTCAATTTCAGCAAAGCATTCAGCAAAGACTCCCCTGATATTCTAATAGAGAAGATAAGAAAATGTGAGTTAAATTATGCTATGTTAGGTGGACCTGGATTGAACAATTGTGCCCAACAAGTGTACATTCATGGCTCTGCATACCTGGAGGGAACTGTGGAGTGGTATATTGCAAGGTTCCCTTTAGGCCCTGTGCTGTTCAACATTTTTGTAAATTATTAGAAGGAGTTAGAAGATACCCTTATAAAATCTGCAGATAACCCAAAAATGAGAATATTGCAAACACTTTAGAGGACATAATGATGTCTGGTAAACATACTGTAAATTTGTGTGATGATGTCATCATACAGGTCATAATTCTTCCCCCTCCCCATCTGCCCATGTTATAGTCTGTTTTAAACTGTGAAAAATAGATAATATTACTGGAGTTCTATTTCTCAGTTTCCATCATTATAACATAAACAAATCCAACTTGTGAATACTTATGTAGAATCAAATTTCACAGTGTTTGGTTGGGCTTGTTTTTAAGTAAGATTAAGATGAGTTATGTCACTTTTCTACTGTTCTTCTTATATCTGGACAATAATTTATTATTGATTTTCTGAGCTTGAAATCTCCAACAGTACTTGAATTTTAGAAATGCTTGAAAATTGATTTCAGCAGCTTGCTATTGGCTTGTTATCTCAACACTAGCCTTCATCAGGAATTCCATGCTATTACAGCAATCTATGATTATATTCTCGGTTTTTTTTTCACCATGCAGGTAGTCCGGCCGTATCAAACAATGTCCAATCCAATGAGTAAGCTGACAGTACTCAACAGTATGCATTCTCATTTTATTCTGGCTGATAATGGAACCACAGGAAAATATGGTGCAGAAGTTAAACTTCGCAGACAGTTGGAAAAGCATATCTCACTTCAGAAGATAAATACAAGTGAGCAGTTCGCTTTCTGTGTTTTCTTACAATCAGGGTAGCAAAATTGAATAGTAATAGTACAAAGACTGTTAAGTGTTTGAAACAATATTTAATGTACCTCTTCTAGTCATGATGGATCAGTCATACGTACACATATACATACATGCATGCATATCTTTATCATTATCATTGACCAGAATTGCACAAAGTATAATAGAATCGAATAAAATTGAGCAATAAAATACAAATACTAGAATTCTAAAAGCTTAGATACTTAGAGCTAATGGCTGAATTATAAAAACTACTTTGTGAATAAAATACTAAAATCCTAAACTACTGAGTTATTAAAATACTAAATATATGGAGTACTTAAAAAAAATTAAATGTTTATTAGAATCCATGATCAAAAAGCAAAGATATAAAAGAGATATTCCATTGTAAAACAGAGTAAAATAGAATTACTTAAAATTTGCTGCAATTTTTAGATCAGAAAACATGAGAAAGGAGAAAGGAAGGGAATGAGGGAGTAGAGGAAGGAAAACTAGAAAATGTGCAACTATATTAATCTGACTGTATAAATTATGGCCAAACACTCCAGTCTACCTCAGATCCCATGGGAAGTTAGTTTCTCCATTATCACATAACAGATGTAGTGCCAGTTTGTCAGTATTACGCAGCTATAATGAATGGCTTGTATGTATGTTTGTACCATTTCTGACCTCGGTAAAGAATTTCATTAGGATCAATTCACAAATGTCACATATACACAACTTAGAAAGCAAATTCACAAATGAAGTTTCAAAACATAATCCAAAGAGCTAGGGAAAGAAGTAATTGCCTAAGTAAATATCAGGAAGGAAAAGAAAGAATGCTACAAGTAGGTTAAATCTGGAATTATCTCAAAAGGAGCTTAAATCTGTCTAGCAAAGCAAAGAAGAATAGATCTGGTAAACAAGCAAGATGATTTTTCAGTCTTTCTTAGTTTATCTGTTTTCTAACTTCAGCTACTTTTGCTACACTAAAAGTTATGTCTTGGTTTCCAAAACTTTAACCTGTTGAAGTCTGATGAAAATCCTTTGCAGTGAAAACATTCTTGATTTTGCTTAGACAAGAATGGGAAACCTATGATCCTCTAGGAATGCTGCCCCAGGGAAACTTCTGGTGTTCCTAGACAGCATATACTTCAGCAATATATACATTCCCCCCTCTGTTAACCCTCTTTACAAGAAAGAGCACAAACTGTCCTCTATTTTGTTACTGCATAATTATTTAAAATGCTTTGCAAAATTAATGAAATGAGTTTATTTGTATTTGGTCAAGGCACAGCTCTTTCCATTCAGCCCAGGTCTCACTGAGTAAATCAAAAAAACTACTGGGTCAGTCTAAAATGTTTTGTTCCCATCAATTATATGAAAAAAAAAATTGTCAGCAAGGTAGCTCTGTGTACACAGGGGAACTTAAGCAATCATAAGCATCCATTTCTAACTAGAATGACAACTTGTTTCATGTTGTCGTTCAACAAGCTCCACCTTTCCATACTTGGGTCACGATGTCACTTTGCAAATACAGAAGGGTTGGAGTTTGACTTGTGATATTGGGCCCCTGCGTAAACAGTCAATGCAATAGAACATCATCGTAGTCAGTAGTGAAAAGTAAGGAATGTGCACTATAAAATCTAATTAAACCAATTTACTATATTACCATAAACTGGGAAAGGGAAACAAAATAAATATTTGTATTATCCAGTTTACATCATTTAGTCATGCTGGATTTCAGTAAAACTGCATCCTACTTACCCTGCAGGGGAACATGTGGGTGCTCTGAGCATATGATTGCTGCTAAGAGAATTTAGAATGGGAAAGAGTATTTCTGTAGAGTGTCTTGGCTGCAGTTCTGAAGTCACAGTTGGGGAATAGGAGGAACAGGGTGGAGACAGCACTTTCACAAACATATATTGCCATAAAAATAAGAAAAAATATTTCCTAATGATATTTCTATAGTCACTAAGAGTTGACACTGACTTGACAGTGCATAATCAAAGATATTTCTCCATGAAAAATAAAAATAATAAAAAATATTTCCTAATGATATTTCTATAGTCACTAAGAGTTGACTATAGAACTCTTGACTTGACAGCGCATAATTAATCAAAGATATTTCTACATGAAAAATAATTGTGTGAAACAGTTGTATAGTCTGCTCCCTCCTCCCCCTTTTTTTTTACCATTTTTGAAAACAATGGCAAATTGTTTTAATTAATTACAGAAATGTTTCTGTAACTGTGTCTGATAAAATGTTCTATTAATCTCTCAAAACAGGATTTTTTTTAAAGAAACAGCTATTCTTTCTTAGTTCCTGTCACCTGGCCCCATGTACTAGTGGTGCTAAAAGGAAGAGGTCTTCCCCTTAGTTGCCTTCCATGTTTCTATTGTGTTCTTTTCAGATCTCTGATAAATATGTCCTAGAAATCCCATGTTGTGGTAAACCAGTTAATCCTTAAATTGCTAGGCAGTCATCATGCTTTATGTGGCCAAACATTATATAGAATGTCATTATTATATTAGATATATGTTCAGAATCATATGATTCACATAAGGGGAGATGGTTTTAATGCTCTTACCTGTGTTAACGTGTCTTGGAAATTATAAAATCCACTGAAAAGTGTTGAATGGGGAAATTCATTTCTACTAGCATAATGATTTTTATCTAAAGAGGATCCTGACTGAGGGGGAGGCAAATATGTGCCATTTCAGTATTACCTGAGGAGTCCTTGGGGTTCTCTGAGCTTGGTTGCTTTTTTGCAAATGTTTCATTACCCAGCTAGGTAACATCTTCAGTGCTACAATGGAGTGGGGTTTGCTCTCTGTTCATATACAGTAGCTTGCCCTGCCAGTGTTGGGGGGGGGGTGTCATTTTTTTTTTCCTTGGTAGTTCCTTGGTTAGGGTATTGTTTACTGCTTGATTGTTTGTCTGGTGTTAATCTTGGTGTTAATC